TTGGTTAACACAAGCCTATCCGATGTTATCCTGACGCCAAATGACTTCGAACAGGCGATAATGACATGCCATGCAACTCTGCCCCAGGGCCAGACTCATGGAAACTCCGTGTTCATCAAGAACTGCAAGAAGCCCCTATCACGAGCCTTTTCCATCCTATGGAGAGGGAGCATGGACACGGGGGTCGTCCCACAGTTACTAAAAACAACAGACAATAGCCCCACTCCACAAAGGGGGCAGTAAAGCAACAGCAAAGAACTACAGACCGATAGCACTAACATCCCATAATATAAAAATCTTTGAAAGGGTCCTAAGAAGCAAGATCACCACCCATCTAGAAACCCATCAGTTACAAAACCCAGGGCAACAATGGGTTTAGAACAGGTCGCTCCTGTCTGTCTCAACTATTGTATCACTATGACAAGGTCCTAAATGCACTAGAAGATAAAAAGAATGCAGATGTAATATATACAGACTTTGCAAAAGCCTTCGACAAGTGTGACCATGGCGTAATAGCGCACAAAATGCGTGCTAAAGGAATAACAGGAAAAGTCGGTCGATGGATCTATAATTTCCTCACTAACAGAAACACAGAGAGTAGTCGTCAACAGAGTAACAGTCCGAGGCAGCTACGGTGAAAAGCTCTGTTCCACAAGGCACAGTACTCGCTCCCATCTTGTTCCTCATCCTCATATCCGACATAGACAAGGATGTCAGCCACAACACCGTTTCTTCCTTTGCTGATGACACCCGAATCTGCATGACAGTGTCTTCCATTGCAGACACTTCAAGGCTCCAGGCGGACATCAACCGAATCTTTCAGTGGGCTGCAGAAAACAATATGAAGTTCAACGATGAGAAATTTCAATTACTCAGATATGGTAAACACGAGGAAATTAAATCTTCATCAGAGTACAAAACAAATTCTGGCCACAAAATAGAGCGAAACACCAACGTCAAAGACCTGGGAGTGATCATGTCGGAGGATCTCACCTTCAGGGACCATAACATTGTATCAATCGCATCTGCTAGAAAAATGACAGGATGGATAATGAGAACCTTCAAAACTAGGGAGGCCAAGCCCATGATGACACTCTTCAGGTCACTTGTTCTATCTAGGCTGGAATATTGCTGCACACTAACAGCACCTTTCAAGGCAGGTGAAATTGCTGACCTAGAAAATGTACAGAGAACCTTCACGGCACGCATAATGGAGATAAAACACCTCAATTACTGGAGCGCTTGAGGTTCCTGAACCTGTATTCCCTGGAATGCAGGCGGAGAGATACATGATTATATACACCTGAAAATCCTAGAGGACTAGTACCAAACTTGCACACGAAAATCACTCACTACGAAAGCAAAAGACTTGGCAGACGATGCAACATCCCCCCAATGAAAAGCAGGGGTGTCACTAGCACGTTAAGAGACCATACAATAAGTGTCAGGGGCCCGAGACTGTTCAACTGCCTCCCAGCATACATAAGGGGGATTACCAACAGACCCCTGGCAGTCTTCAAGCTGGCACTGGACAAGCACCTAAAGTCGGTTCCTGACCAGCCGGACTGTGGCTCGTACGTTGGTTTGCGTGCAGCCAGCAGCAACAGCCTGGTTGATCAGGCTCTGATCCACCAGGAGGCCTGGTCACGGACCGGGCCGCGGGGGCGTTGACCCCCGGAACTCTCTCCAGGTAAACTCCAGGTAAACACAGTAGGCTTCTGTTGCATATGTGTCTTACCTAACAACCTGTCGGTATTTTATACCATTTTAATGTTCAATCTGTCAGACACTGCAACACAAGGGTATCTTGGTACAGACCTGCAATCAACTTCGACAACCTCTACTAGTGAGAACGGCTGGATTTGAGAGGGACCTGACCTCCCAACATCTGCGTTCTTACTTCTACTAGTGACCTACGTCTCACCTCCTGGCGCTATATAAGGCTCCATCCTGTCACTTCAACTCCATATTGTTTCAGACTATGAAACAATGCTCTTCTCCAGACTGAGGGACTGACCACCTCAAAACTTTAAATGTGATGGACTGATTACATCGTCTTCAAGTCTCTTCTGCTTCTATCAACTTTTCTGTACTCGACTGAAGAAGCCTACTGTGTAGGCGAAACGTTTCGAAATAAAGATACCTAACTGTTGCATATGTGTCTTACCTAACAACCTGTCGGTATTATATACCATTTTAATGTTCAGGGTTATTATTGAAAGAATTAGAGGTAAGACAGAGAGTAGGATTGCGGATGAGCAAGGAGGCTTTAGATTGGGTAGGGGATGTGTTTGCATTGAAGCATATATGTGAACAGTATTTAGATAAAAGTAAGGAAGTTTTCATTGCATTTATGGATTTAGAAACAGCATATGACAGAGTAGATAGGGGAGCAATGTGGCAGATGTTGCAAGTATATGGAACAGGTAGTAAGTTACTAAATGCTGCAAAAAGTTTTATAAGGATAGTGAGGCTCAGGTTAGGGTGTGTAGAAGAGAGGTAGAAAGTTGAAAGTGAACAAAGAAAAGAGTAAGGGTATCAAGTGATTTAGATAAAGAAAAATTGGATATCACATTGGAGAGAAGGCGTATGAAAGAAGTGAATGTTTTCACATGTTTGTGAGTTGATGTATCAGCGAATGGGTTTATGAAAGATAAGGTTAACCATAGAATTGATGAGGGGAAAAAAGGTGAGTGGTGCATTGAGGTATATGTGGAGTCAAAACACGTTATCAATGGATGCAAAGAAGGGAATGTATGAAAGTATAGTGGTACCAACACTCTTATATGGGCGTGAAGCTTGGGTTGTAAATGCTGCAGCGAGGAGGCGGTTGGAGCCAGTGGAGATGTCCTGTCTAAAGGCAATGTGTGGTGTAAATATTATGCAGAGAATTCGAAGTGTGGAAATCAGGAGAAGGTGTGGAGTTAATAAAAGTATTAGTCAGAGGGCTGAAGAGTTGTTGAGGTGATTTGGTCATTTAGAGAGAATGGATCAAAGTAGAATGCCATGGAGAGCATATGAATATGTAGGGAAAGGAAGGCGGGGCAGAGGTCGTCCTCAAAAAGGCTAGAGGAAGGGGGTAAAGGAGGTTTTGTGGGCGAGGGGCTTGGACTTCCAGCAAGCGTGTGTGAGCGTGTTAGATAGGAGTGAATGGAGACGAATGGTTTTTGGGACCTGACGAGCTGTTGGAGAGTGAGCAGGGTAATATTTAGTGAAGGGATTCAGGGAAAACAGTTATTTTTATATAGCCGATTTGAGTTCTGGAAATGGGAAGTACAATGCCTGCACTTTAAAGGAGGGGTTTGGGATAATGGCAGCTTGGTGGGATGTGTAATAGGACGGTATACATATAAATGGGGCCCTGATATTGTAAGTTTATTTCAGGTCACTTTTTATATTGTATCTTATTATATGCTTCTGAACTGTTGTATCTGGGCACCTCTGCGAAAATAGTGATTATGTATGAGTGAGTTGAAAGTGTTGAATGATGAAAGTATTTTCGTTTTGGGGACTTTCTTTCTTTTTGGGTCACCCTGCCTCGGTGGGAGACAGCCGACTTGTTGAAAAAAAAAAAAAATTCTTTCTACAAGTACATGTACAACGTATAATTATTATTATAAGCAAAAGAAGTACTAAACCTACGAGGGTCATACAGCGAAGCAGGGCAGGGGGTAGTGCAGGATCATAGAATAACAAGGGTGGAGAGGATAACAGAGAGTTAGAAAGGGCTGTGAGGAGTGCTAGAGGATGGATTATCAAAGTTTGTGTAATAAATCGATTATTAAAAATGTCAAAGGGGAAGTCTATGTCAAAGGTGTGGCCGTCAGCAAGGAGGGAAGGTAAAGAAAGGGCGTTAGAGTACTTCGGAGGAAAATTCTGCGTGCTCGTTGATAGACAGGACAGTCCAATAGAATATGGGAAATTGAAATCAGACAATTCTCTGAGTGGAGCTGGGCGCCTCTCCGTGAGATACGTATATAGGCCTAGCCGACATCAATGATATATTACGATATTGAAATCCCCTTGTTATGCAGAGCATTTCAGGAAAATTAGGTAAATTTTGTCCCAGGATACGATAAAGCAGTCGGCTATTTTAGTGTTAGGTGAATAGGGACAGCAGGTCATGAAGATTAGAGAAGGGCAAAGAAGACTTTAGAGTACAGGCTAGGGGGGCAAAAGAATGAAAACCTCACTTAAGGCAAAGGATCTTGGGGTGAGTATAATACCGAGCATATCTCCTGAGAGGCACATCAACCAAATAACAGAAAGCAAGTTACAGGATATTGAAAAGTGACAGTCTGCCCAAAATCACATCTAATCACTATCAACTAATCTAGTGACATATAAAATAATGTTACCTTTGTGATTAATACACCCACACACACAAGTTTTATGTAACTCTCTACGTATTAATATATATATTGTTACCCTACACTACTATACATCAGAAAATGTTCCAGAAAGTACCAGAAGAGAAGATTCTATGTAAAGATCCCTACATGTTTACCTACTATCATATTTACCTACCCTGCAACAAACACATACTAAATATTGTAATAATAACTGTATTCCTAGATATGATAAGCCTGAGTGTCTTCTATCATTAGGAATAACTTTAGTTTTCCTGGGCAACTTACACATGCTGCTAGTAAGTATAACAGTCGCCATCACCTATATGTTGATAGGTATGATAGTTGCAGTTACCTTAACCTGTGTATTTCAGGATATTCTTAAAAGACTGAATGTCTATCACTCAGTTCCCAGTTACTATTCTACCTTTCTTGGGTTATCCAGGTTATCCTTGTTTTAACTCTTTCTGCGAGAGTAGCATGACTGTCCGCGCGATTGGGAGACAGAGAATGAAGGCTCCATAACATCTTGCGCTTAATTATCCATATGGGTTTATCGCTCCACATATATAACATAATAATCTCCACCCTTACTGACGCTGAATGACCCACACGAGTTTAATAACTTAACATAAATACAAGTAAATTTACCTGGTTTATCTGCCAGGCGTTACCATCCTGTGCATGACAAGAACCCCTCAGACCAATCTGGAAGGTGGCGTGGGGGTCTATGAGGTCTTCCTCGAGCGCTCTTCTGAAGGGTGATCCATGGTTGATCTTGGCTCCTAGGGTGATGTCTGATACATCAGGATGAGCATCCACATGCACCAGTCCCACCCTGCCTCTCTGAGCCTGTACACAAGAAGTAATACACGCTACACTTAAATATATCTATACATATTTAAACTAGGATAACTCCATGAAGCGAGGATGTCATCAAAGGAAGGTGGTGTTCGTTAGTTTAATATGGTTATTATGCACCCCTTACCCATCATGTGGGCGGTAGTCAAAGGATTACAGAGGTACATAATGGGTCCAGGGACTGCACCCCAAAGTTTTGATAGCTGAACATGTTACAATGGTAATGAACCATCAAAGGAAGGTGGTGGCAACAATGTTTAAACATAAGTATATTAAGTCTTGCCATGAGATTTTTTTTTAATCTAAATCATTCCTGCTAGGCGCTCTTGGAAAGACATATGCATTTTGAGATTCCTTTCTTTCCCCCTTGTAATAAAAGAATGGTTATGTATGTACAGTTAGTGAGGGTTACCTTGATGGCCTGTAGGATGGGGTAAGTGATAGTGTGGTCGCCGCCCATCGTCAAAGGAATACAGCCAGTGCTGAGGAGTTCCATATAGCGATCCCTGATGTTGTTGCACGCCTCAGGTAAGCTGTGGATGGGCCATGGCACCTTCAGTGTCTGCTATTTTGCAACATACGAGGTGCTACCAAAAAGTTCCAGGACTGCAGCGAAAAAATATATATAGGCTTACTTCATCACTTCGTGGAGGTTCTCCATCGAAGTACTCTCACTAAAAGGCTATTCACTGATCCCAGCGTCTCTGCAACTTCTCGAAACATTACTGTAACAATTCTTTCCTAACGACGTCTAGCGCGGCCTGCGATTCTGCTTGAATCTCATCCACGTCTTTAAAACGCAGCCAATTTAGTGCCATTTTTATTTCTGGGAAGAGAAAGTCACCGGGGGCTAGATCTGGGGAGCAGGGAGGGTGAGGGACGACCAGCAAGTAGTTTTTCGCCGGAAAATGAGTTTTTAATGTTGATGAACGACCAGTGTTTATTTCTTAACTGACGTTCGTTCTGTTTTGAACTTAAAAAACTATTCAGAACACTGTGTTCGACCCGTGCTTCATCACCGAATGCTTGCTGAAGCATTTTGTGAGTTTCAACAGCCATTTTACCAACTTGAAGCTGAGCTTCACACATACACATTCTGTTGTTTCTTTTAAAGATTCCTTTCTGTTACACAAAAAATCGCAGCCACGCGCTGACAACACGACAAAAAATGCCTGCCCTTACCCTGAACGGAATAACCAAACCACATTGAAACTCGCCACATTACTTCACAAAAGGACCCGTACTGCGCAGGTTGACCTGCGATGCGCCCCCATATTTTAAACCTAGGAACCGCATGAAAATTCCAGTCTGGAAGCATTTTGATAGCACATCGTACCTTTTTTTATCAATGGAGAAATTCGATTATATATAAAATATATATAAATATATATATATATATAAATATATATATTAAAATTTTTATAATTAATATATTTATATATTATATATATATATATATATATAAAATATATATATATATATATATATATATATATATATATATTATATATATATATATATATTAAGAAGTCGGCCGTCCTCCCACCGGGGAAAGGTGACCCCAAAAAAGAAAGAAAATCCCCCAAAAGAAAATACTTTCATCATTCAACACTTTCACCTCACTTACACACAACCCACTGTTTTTGCAGAGGTGCTCAGAACACACAATTTAGAAGCATATACGTATAAAGATACACAACACATCCCTCCCAAACTGCTAATATCCGAGCCCCTCCTTTAGAGAGCAGGCATTGTACTTCCCATTTCCCAGGACTCAAGCCCGGGCTATAAAAAATAACCCGGGTTTCCGTGAACCCCTTCACTAAATATTATCCTGCTCACACTCCAACAGTTCGTCAGGTCCCAAATACCATTCGTCTCCATTCACTCCTATCTAACACGCTCACACACGCTTGCTGGAAGTCCAAGTCCCTCGCCCACAAAACCTCCTTTACCCCCTCCCTCCAACCTTTTCGATACGACCCCTACCCCGCCTTTCTTCCCCTACAGGTTTATACGCTCTCCATGTCATTCTACTTTGATCCATTCTCTCTAAATGACCAAACCACCTCAACAACCCTTCTTCAGCCCTCTGACTAATACCTTTATTAACTCCACACCTCCTAATTTCCACACTTCGAATTCTCTGCATAATATTTACACCACACATTGCCCTTAGACAGGACATCTCCACTGCCTCTAACCGCCTCCTCGCTGCAGCATTTATAACCCAAGCTTCACACCCATATAAGAGTGTTGGTATCACTATACTTTCATGCATTCCCTAAAATCTGGAACACCCTACCTGAAAATTCCAAAACTGCAGACACATTCATCACCTTCAAAACTACCATCAGAAAACATCTTATCTCCCTGATACACCCTGTCAAGTAATAATACGAATACCACCTGGTTGTTCACACTTACACTCACTCACCCATTTGACCATAAACAGAAATATCAATCTCAATCTCAAAATAATGAATCTTAACTAGTCAAAAGTTGGCCTGTGATACTCCAATACTGAAACTATGTATAGTGCCAAAACAAAAGCATTCACATTGCTAAACTCACAACTAGTATTTAGTCACTTAGCCATAATACCAACTTATCTCATAATTCTGTAACATTTTAAACCTAAGATTTAATATAAGTCTGCCCGAAATGCCTAGCCATGCTAGGCGTTCTAGTGGTACACTCTGTAATTATTATTTTACTACATGTAAACCACACAGTAACCAAATTCTGTAAACTCAGCATTGTAATACTTATAGAGAATAAAGTTTGAATTGAATTGAATTGAATTGAATTCTTTGCCTCTATAGATAACGTTTTTTGTCTCCACATATACCTCAATGCACCACTCTACCTTTTTTCCTTCATCAATTCTATGGTTAACCTCATCCTTCATAAATCCATCCACTGACAAGGCAACTCCCAAATATGAGAAAACAGTCACTTCTTCCATACCCCTCCTCTCCAATTTGATATCCAATTTTTCTTTATCTAAATCATTTGATACCCTCATCACCTTACTCTTTTCTATGTTCACTTTCAACTTTCTACCTTTGCACATTCACCCAAACTCTTCCACTAACCTTAGCAACTTTTCTTTAGAATCTCCCATAAGCACAGTATCATCAGCAAAATGTAACTGTTCATTCCCATTCCAGGAAGTAATCTCCCTCTCTCCTACACACCCTAACCTGAGCCTCACTATCCTCATAAAAACTCTTTACAGCATTTAGTAACTTACTACCTATTCCATATTCTTGCAACATCTGCCACATTACTCCCATATCCACTATATCATATGCCTTTTCTAAATCCATAAATGCAATGAAAACTTCCCTATCTTTATCTAAATCCTGTTCACATATAAAGCTTCAATGTAACACTGATCAAAACATCCCCTACCCACTCTAAACCTTGCTCATTTCCCCAATCTAAAATTCTATCTTGCCTCTAATTTTTTTCAATAATAACCCACATACACTTTCCTTACTACCCCAGTAAACTTATTCATCCATAATTTTTTACATTTTTTTGGTACTCCTTCCCTTTATATAAAGAATTAACATGCCTCTGCCAATCCATAGGACCTTCCCCGTTTCCCCTACATTCATTAACAAAAATACCACCTCTCCAACACTATTCCCCCCTGCTTTTAACATTTCTGTCTGATCCCGTCAGTTCCACTGCTTTACCCCCCTTTCCCTTCTACGTAATGCTTTACGCATCCCTTCCCACACTCACATCCTGCCCCTTGTTCACTCCTAAAAGATGTATAAAACCCCTCTGCGAGTGCATGAAATTACCCGCCTCCCTTTCTTTTCCAACATTTAAAAGTTCCTCAAAATCCCCGCCATCTACCCAATACCTCCATCTCCCCATCTACACTTCCCTACTCATTTTTAACTGACAAATCCATTCGTTCCCTGGCTCTTAACTTTTTATCTCCCCAATTTTTTTCTTTAAATTTCATCAAAATTTCTTGACCTGCCTCTCCCCCCTCTTTCATGTGCTCCCTTTGCACTCTCTCACCACCCCTTCACCTTTTTTTTTAACTCTCCATATCTCTACTTTCTTATAACCCTTCTGCTTTATAAAAAACCTCTCATAAGCTACATTTTCCTATATCACACCCTTTACTTTCATCATTCCACCAATCACCCCTCTTTTCCTCTGCAACCCATCCTCCTTAACCACAAACTTCTGCCCCACATTCAAATACTGCATTTTTTAAAACTATTCAAACCTCCCTTCAACCCTCTTCCCCCCACTACTCTACTTGCACTAGCTCACCTTTCTGCCAATATTTCTTATAAACTCACCCTAATTTCTTTCCTCCCTTTGTTATACAATTTTATCTTTCTCTTACTTCCCTTGTTGCCATTTTCCTCTTGTCCCATCTAACCTCTTACTCTAACGTAGCTACAACTAGATAATGACCGATATATCAGTTGCCCCTCTATAAAGATGTACATCCGGAATCCTAAACCCCTCAAACCTTTCATCCACCAGTATATAATCTAACAAACTACTTTCATTATGTGCTATATCATACCTTGTATATTTATTTACCCTCTTTTTCATAAAATATGTATTATTTTTTTTACCAAACTTCTTTCTACACATAGCTCAATTAAAGGCTCCCCCCTTTTTTATTTACCCCTGGCACCCCCAAATTTTCCTACCTTTCATCCGTCCCCCCACATTTTTAACCCACTTTAGCATTAAAATCCCCAACCACAAGTACTCTCACACTTGGTTCAAAACTCCCCACAGTCACTCAACAATTCCCAAAATCTCTCTCTCTCCTCTACACTTCTCTTTTCTCCAGGTGCATATACACTTAATAAAAACCACTTTTCACATCCAACCCTTATTATACTCCACATAATCTTTGAATTAATACATTTATACTCTCTCTGTTCCTGCCATAGCTTATCTTTCAACATTATTGCTACTCCTTCTTAAGCTCTAATTCTATTTGAAACCCCTGACCTTATGCCATTTACTTCTCTCCACTGAAACTCTCCCACCCCCTTTAGCTTTGTTTCACTTAAAGCCAGGACATCCAGCTTCTTCTGATTCATAATATCCACAATCATCTCTTTCTTATCATTTGCACAACATCCACACACATTCAGACATCCCACTTTGACAATTTTCTTCTTCTTATTTTTAGTAATCTGTACAGGAAAAGGGGTTACTAGCCCATTGTTCCCGGTATTTTAGTTGACTTTTACAACACGCATGGCTTACGGAGGAAAGATTCTTATTTCACTTCCCCATGGATATGAAAGGGAAAAGTAATAAGAACAAGAACTATTAAGATAAAATCAAAGAAAACTCAGATGAGTGTGTATAAATAAAACGTGTACATGTATGTGTTATGTGACGTAAGTGTAAGTAGAAGTAGCAAGACGTACCTGTAATCTTGCATATTTATGAGACAGACAAGGGCAACAGTAACAACGGGAAGACCAGAACGAGCCCCTGGTTTACCCGACGGTGTAAGGAGGCAAAA